AAAAAAAAAAGAAATGCAAAACTTCATGCATGTCCTGTAGTCTTGCCTGACCTGAGGCCCAGATCCGTTCTTCCTAGGCTGCTGGGGATTCACTCATTGTAATGCCCGGACGTTCCTTGTTAGCGGTAAACATGCCTGTGACTAGGGTGGTGGTAACGGTAGTGGCCCATTTGGTCTAAGTATTTTTTAAAGTAAGAATTCATTTAGAATTTACCCAGAGGACAGGAGGAGGTAAAGCCGAGACAAGGCGCTGTATCTAACAGAAACGGACCCCACTCCCATGGCCAGGGCCCAGGGATGCAGAGCGGGGTGAGGGCTGAGTTAGCCCACTGCACTGCCACGGCGCAGGAGTCCCTGCACAATGTTGTACTCTGGAACCCGACTCCCACTATTACCCAGTCTCCACGGCAAGTTCATGTTGCCAAGGGCAACGCACTTTACACAGGAGCACATAGACATCTGTTAGTGTATTATTAAAAGGGCAGATTTCTGGGCTACACCTCAGACCTGCAGAATCAGACTCACTCAGAATCGATACACATTTGTCACCAAGTGCAGTGGGCTCGCCACTTGTCCTTAAATTGAGAGCAAGTTAGAATAATGTGGGCTTGGAGCCCAGTGGCTTCGTGAGATACCTCCACACTGAACTGCTAATGGATGCTTAGGGAGATAGGTGAGTCTGTCTTGTTTGCTCTTGGAGAGCCTTGGGAACTCGAAGGGGCAGTTCCTGCTATTCTGTCTTGTAGGTTCACTAAGGGTTCGAATCAGCTGCATGGCAGTTTGTGTTTTCATTTAATTTTTTCTTTTGTTTTTGTTGTTTACTGCTTGGAAGAGTAAGAAGGCAGAGAGATGCCTCTCAAACTACTGTCTCCTTACAGAAAGCACCCAGGGAATTGTGTAAGCAGAAAGGGAATACTACATATGCAGGGGTTTTCTGAGAGAAGGCTCTCTGTTATGCATAAGGGGTAGCTTCTTCTTCTTTTTTTTAAAAATAATTTTATTGGGGCTCATACAACTCTTATCACAATCCATACATACATCCAAATGTCAAGCAAATTTGTACATTTGTTGCTATCATCATTCTCAAAATATTTTCTTTATACTTGAGCCCTTGGCATCAGCTCCTCATTTTCCCCATCCCTCCCTCCCTCCCTCCCTTATCCTTGATAATTTATAAATTATTATTATTTTTTCATGTCTTGCATTGACCGATGTCTCCCTTCACCCACTTTTCTGTTGTTTGCCCCTCAGGGAAGGGGTTATATGTAGATCCTTGTAATCGAGTCCCCCTTTCTACCCCACCTTCCCCTTACCCACCTGGTATCGCTAATCTCATTATTGGTCCAGAGAGGTTTATGTGTCCTGGATTCCCTGTGTCTCCAGTCCTTATCTGTACCTGTGTACCTGCTCTGGTCTAGCCGGATTTGTAAGGTAGAATTGGAATCATAATAGTGGTGGGGGAGGAAGCATTAAAGAACTAAAGAACATCGTTGCTGAGCTGCTCCCTGACTGACTTGTCTCCTCCCTGCGACGCTTCTGTAAGGGGCTGTCCAGTTACCTATAGATGGGCTTTGGGTCTCCACTCCACGCACCCCCTCATTCACAAAGATATGATTTTTTGTTTTTGATCCCTGTTACTGATACTATCAACATCCCATGATCACACAGGCTGGTGTGTTTCTTCCATGTGGGCTTTGTTACTTCTGAGCTAGATGACCGCTTGTTTACTGTCAAACCTTTAAGACCCCAGATGCTATATCTTTTGATAGCTGGGCACCATCAGCTTTCTTCACCACATTTGCTTATGTTCCCACTTTGTCTTTAGTGATCATATTAGGGAGGTGAGCATCACAGAATGCCAGGTTAATAGAACAAAGCATTCTTGCATTGAGGGAGTACTTGAGTGGAGGCCCAATGTCCATGTGCTACCTTCATACTGAACCTATACATATATGCACATAGATCTATTTCCACATCCTCATATATAAATATATTTACATTTGCACATGCCTTTATTTAGACCTGTATAAACACCCTTTACCTCCTAGCTCTTTCCTCTATTTCCTTTTACTTTCCTCTTGTCCCACTATCATGCTCAGTCTTCATTTGTGTTTCAGTAATTCCTCTCGGTTACATTACTCTTGGTCACACCCTACCAGACCTCCTACACCCTCCTCACTACCGATTTGGATCACTTGTTGTTCCCTTGTCCCTGGGTTTGTTAACACCGCTACCTTTCCCCCTACCTCCCCCTCTCCCATGCTCCCCCGGAACGTCAGTCCCGTTGTTTTCTCCTCCAGCTTGTGTATCCTGCCTACTGATCTAGATAGACTGCAGAGATAATAATATGCACAAAACCAAGACAGAGCAAAAAAAGCAACAAAAGAAAACAAAACAACAACAACAACAACAACAAAACCAATGACAAAAAAAGGAAAAGCCTGCAAATAGCCCAAGGTCTGTTTGTTGACCTTTAGGAGAGTTTTCCTGTGGAGTCTGATGGGGTGCCAAGAGCTGGCCCAACGTCTACTTTTGGTATTCCCTGGGGATTTCATTGCTCTGTTCCCCCTCACTGCTCTGTTGCACACCCTCAGTGTTCCGCCTGGACCCCTTGCTTCTGAAATGTGTCCGCGTAGCAGAGATGATGTAGATCCGGTGAATTTGCATGTTTGGCTGTAAACAACATCTGGAAGAGGGAAGATTAGTGATCAAGGAACATTAGTAAGAAGTGGGGAGAGTTATTTCCTTTGGGGAACTGGTAAACCTATGCTGTTTTTATTGCCCTTGTAGTTCAGTCGAAGGCCCTGAAATCTGGATGGAAAATCCCCCAGCCTAGCGAGTGTCACCTAGATCAGCACCCTGAGGAGTACTGACAACCGGAAACTTTGAGCAAAGCCGTGCCAACGCTTCTGCTCCCCTTGGAGCCTGCTGGAATCTCAGACCGTCTTCAGACCCTCCGAATGACAGGGTTTCGGGGGAGAGGGGTGGCAACTCCTATCCCAGTCCTTCTCATGGAGAGGAAAGGAGGGTGTCATTCTCCACCACCCACCTTAGGGCACACGGACTCCAGGCACTGGTGGCATAAGAGATAGCCCCCAGCCACCCTTCAGCCCAACCTCTGCTGAGCCTGAAAAATTATAAACATTTCTGAGTGATCAGGCACCTTGCTACCATGATGGGCTGGTTCAGACCACCTTCGTTGGAAAGCAGCTTTCCCAGATCAATGTATTTTCCAGTTGGTACCAGTCATATTCAGTAGCACATCCTAAAAGGAATCAGTAGGTTATTATGAGCCTTCAGGTCTACATGGACGTCTGGCCAAAGTCGGTTTATTCCAAGAAGAAATGGGCAATGACTAACTAGGCTTAGATCAACAACTGCACAGGATCAGATAACTGAAAAGTCTCATAAGACTCCCTCGAGTAGACTCATGCAAATCTTCGGTAAAATGGCAGTAGGAAAAAGTACAGTTGGAAAAAAGATAATGCCAGCCAATGTCAAAGGCTCAAGACTCCTAAGTGTAACACAACACGCAGGGCCATTTTGAACCACC